GAAGGAAGGAAGGAAGGAAGGAAGGAAGGAAGGAAGGAAGGAAGGAAAAAAGACAAGGCCAGAATTGGATGGGCAGGAAGACAGAAAAGATGAGATTATGAGTGTCTGTTAATGTAGCCTTACAATAGCATAGAATTAACTTGTCATTTTTCCTGTCTGGGAAACTGACAGTATCTCACAAGTCTGAAAGTACAACTCTCCCACCTGATAAGTTAATGCAGATCCTTTTTAAGTTTCTTTCTCTGCCCATTCTTCAGCTGTAGACTAATTCCCCTTTTACCTGATAAATTCAGCATCTTTTTTCCCTGGTCTCCCAAGGTAATTTCTACCTATATCAAATATTGCAACCAGAAAAAGGCCACTTAGAGGCTCAAGGAAAGGTCTTTTCCCAGCCTGGATTAAAAAAATGTTCAATGAAAGAAGCAGAGGAATCCCCTAGGGCTCTTCTGCGTGTCTCTATCAGAAGCTGCTGCCCTTCTCTGCCTCATTCTTTCACAGCAACAGGTCTGTTGCTATGGAATCCCTCGGGGTAAGGCCACCCTTGGAAGACTGCATCCAGTTTGGTCGCCACGATGTAAAAAAGATGTTGAGACTCTAAAAAGAGTGCAGAGAAGAGCAACAAAGAGGATTAAGGGACTGGAGGCTAAAACATATGAAGAACGGTTGCAGGAACTGGGTATGTCTAGTTTAATGAAAAAAAGGACTAGGGGTGACATGATAGCAGTCTTCCAATTTCTCAGGGGCTGTGACAAAGAAGAGGGAATCAAGCCAACGTACCTGAGGGCATGAAAAAGAAGCAATGGGAGGAAACTAATCCAGGAGAGAAGCAACCTAGAACTAAGGACAAATTTTCTGACAGTTAGAACAATTAATTAGTGGAACAACTTGCTTCCAGAAATCGTGAATGCTCCAACACTGGAGGTTTTTAAGAAGAGATTGGACAACCATTTGTCTGACGTGGTGTAGGGTTTCCTGCCTAAGCAGGGGGCTGGACTAGAAGACCTCCAAGGACCCTTCCAACTCTGTTATTCTATTCTATTCTATTCTATTCTATTCTATTCTATTCTATTCTATTCTATTCTATTCTATT